GGTGGTGGTGGTGGTGGTGGGGTTGTTGCATGAGTGGTGGAAGCAGCTGTGCCAATTGCTACAACTGCAGCAGCTGACGGGGCCATGAAACTGCCGTGATTTTCTCGAGAGCTATCAGCCCTACACCATAGGCACGATTCCGCGCACGATGACACGTCTAAAGCAGCAGCTCTTCTCAAGAAGCTTGTCAGGAAACGGAAACTGCGACAGACACTGCACACAGGCCCAACCTTGAACCCCAAACACCACACCTTGAACCCTGAGGCCACTTTGGCCTCAAGGTTCGGCTCGGCATGAGAAAGTGGGTTCCACATATTTACCTATATGGCCTATATGTGATTGTCCCAAAGCCAGACCGCTTATGTCAGCTTGAAGGAGGGCCCTGAGATTTTGGCAAATTTCACATTCTTCAACCTAAGCCTGCTGGCAATTCCACATTGCAATGGGTCTGCCATGCCGGCGCCTCGTACCCCTACTCATTCTGAGGCGGGACTGTGTTATAGGGATGGTATTGGGGACTTGTATAGAGATGTTCTAGTGGTGTACCTCGTCTGGAAGCTGCATAGCCGTGGCTCACCTTGCTAAACAGGTGTTCATGAAGAAAACTGGGTTGATTTCAAGGAACTTAATTTCAGCTACCATAATGGGTATAGATAGTAATCAATATGGTTTCCCCGATGTAGTAACTTAAATGAAGTTCCTTAATAGCAGCCCACAAAACTGACATGGTATGTAGGATGCACAGCAGGACAGCACTTCCAGGGCGCAGGATTTCTGTGAAAGTTTGTTTCGGGTTCTGGAGTTGTCATGGATTCCCCTACTATGGCCCTATACCATGGCCCCTCGGTTCCCTCTAGGCTGAGTTAAGCACAGCTAGGCCTTCACTAGAGGTTTAGGGTTTAGGGTTTAGGGAGTTAACCTTTCAAGGTCTTCCAAATGTGTTTGTTATGCCTTGGGCCTAAATATGTAAAACACATGGAAGCTGGACTTTTATAGGCAATACTATGGTTCTAGATTCCTTGTGAGGCTATAGTACACGTTACCTGGAATGGACCCCAAAATGATGCTGGTCATTATTCAGGCTCCTACTTTGCACCCTCTCCCAAACCAACATGGAACCCACCCAAAAGGGGCTGTCGCCTTTCTAGGGCCGTCTTGGGGTCCTGTGTTAGTTTTGGGGAGGGTATTGGGGACCTTTGGTGCAGCAATGGCTTAAGATTTCGGGTTGCTTTCTTGGAAGCTACCCTGCGCGCCCAGTGAACTCCCAGACCTCCAAACTCAAACAAGGTACACCTAAACCTTGAATTTCAAACCCTGTATTCTTCTGGGCCAAGTCCTAGCAATAAGCCATGTAGTCCTCCCTCTCGAGCATGTGAGGGACCTCCCTTCGCTGCGAAGACAAGTGCAATCAGATTACCTTCATCCAAAGTAACATGGAACCGCCAAAAGTGCTCCACAAAGACTACTGTCCTCGCAAAATGGGCTTATGGGATGGGTAAGAATGGGAAGTAAGGCAGGTTACACTTGTAAACACATACATGAACGAGGTTGTTGTTGAATAAAATTTTGCTTCATGTGCACCTGATCCCAAACCATTTAGGCAGCAGGAGATGTTGCCGCCATCCCTAGTCTGCAAACCTTGTAATCCCCCATAGGGCCGAAGCATGTCTGCTCTTAAATGGGTTAGGATTTAGGGTTAAAAGTTTAGGGTTTAGGATTTAGGGTTTAGGGTTTAGGATTTAGGGTTAAAGGTTTAGGATTTAGGGTTTAGGGTTTAGGGTTTAGGGTGGAACAAGAAACACACCCCACCCCCTAATACACAATGATGTCATGACGCAGCGTTTGTTATTGTCGGGCGAGGAGGGCCCTAAAACCTGAACCTTCACAATCCGTACAGAATCCCTGTGGTATTGGGTGGAGTTAAGCCTAGTCCCTGTCCCACCAAGCTTGCTGGGTGTTGGTCAAGGAATGAAGGAATGGACATAGGGTTTAGGGTTTAGGAAATGGGATCCTGGATATTATTGGGGATTACATAGGGGCTGCTATGGGAATCCGTTCCTTCATTCAATGAATTCCTACTTAACAGCAAGAAGTAAGCCCCGTAGCTGTTTTTATTCCTGAACCCTATTCCCAAACCCTCAAAGCCCTAGGCCCCCAAACTAGTGGAGAGGAAACGCTGTTGAGGTTGGAACAGACTTTCCGCTGTTTGAGCAAAGGCCTGCTGAGGTAAATATAAGGTTGTGACTCTGATTGCATGAATATGGGAATCGCTCCATACATGTAAATCCTACCCCATTTCGGTAATCTCTCTGTCATCCTCTATCATCCTTCCTATAACTCATTCTCCATTTTCTAGAATATTGAGGAGGTTCTGCGGGGATACATGTAGGCAAATTTGAGGAGTGGTGGGTAGCTTGGGAATAATGACAGGTTTAGGGCCTAAAGAGTATGGTAGAGATTTTCGGTGTAGGTGTTCATGAGCTCTGAACTCGTGTTGCTTGCGGTTCAAAAGACCCGCGCGAAGACAGGCCTAGAACTCTTTATTGTTGCCTAGCATGAACCCCCAGCGCCCTAAACCCTAAACGATAAACTCCGAAAAAGGATTGTAGCCTTGACAAAGCCCTTTGTGGTGTTCCACGTTTCTTCGAGGACGGTGTTCTCTAAGAACTGGAAGAATAAGAATAGCAGCAGCAACAGTAGTAGTAAGCATAACAACAATGGTACCATTATTTGAATTTGGGTATGGTTTCCACCCAAGGAAGTAGATGACACGCAAGTCTTTGGGCAGCCCTTCTGCGGCAAGCAGACTCTGCCCAACTAGAGTTTATACGGTGTTCATACAGGGACTATGTAGGATCCGAACTACCCACAATAAGGACTCCATGAATAACAACAGACTCTTACGTATAGGGCCATGCTGTACGGGCTTGGAGGCTACCAAAATCCTCTTATCAAAAGCTTCTGGCTTTGATGCCTGTTATGACAGCGAAGGTGCACGACGAGTCCTGGAACCCCAACAAGAAGAACAAATGTGGGCTGCGTGTTCACTATGTAGTTATGACAAGCTAGAAACCACACTTTCTGATTTCTACTGTGTCTACAAACACTACAAACACTATCGAAGATGCAACTCACATCATGGAATAGGACAACTTCGAAAGGAAATTGTCTTCCGGCTTCATGGATAGGATCCATCCAAATTATGGCAATTCCTACATACGCTCTCTACAATCCCTACATTTCCCCTGTATGCCGGTCTCTAGGGGTTATACAGGGACATAAAGGGTTATATAGGGGTATATGGGGTTATATAGGGATAATGGAAAAGAAAATGGAAGCTACAATTTGGGGTTTAGGGTAGTTCCCAAAATTAGGGTCCCATTTTGGTAGCTAAAAACTACGTGCCGTAATATATAATCTATAACCGAAGGGGGACCATAATTTTGAAAACGACCCAACTGCCAAATACCAGGTCCTGAACCAGTGAAACTGTCGGGTCCCCCTATGCATGAGGCTGCGGGGTCTGAAGCGCGTCTGGGTGACTGATAGGGATAACTCCAACTCAGGATCCATTGTTTCCTAGATCCTGCACTTCTGAGAGATGCCCTTGCAATCCCATATTGTTCAAGCTTCTGTAACACAAGTCCTTGTGTGCTTTCTTGAAAGTATTGTACTTATGGGAAGCATGGGACAGAACGTAGGCAATATTCGGGGTTGGTGGGCACCTTTTGGGAGCTGTGCACGGTTTGGGGGAGAGTGGTCCAGCACCCCTACAGAAGCTCCGCGCAAGGGGTCGGATTCTGCACTGCAGCACCTTTCACCGCAGCTGTTCAGCATCCTGCCTAGCGCTTCCCCGGACGGTGTCACGACGGGGGACGCAGCAACGTCAATGGTGTTCGCAATCCTTGTCTTCTTCACATTTACGCCAGCATGGGCCGTTCGAACAGTTGATCTTTCCGCCACTCGTGCAGGGCCTGAGATTATCGCATACAATGAGGTTGCCATTCCCAGCGTGTCTCAGCTTGAAGCAGTCATGGCTGTTAAAAAAAATCTTCGTATCTGAATGTAGTATAGACCAGAGGGTGCTAGCGCCAGACCGATCTAGGATCATTAGCTACATGGTGTTGATTCTTGCATGCGCTTAGGATGAAGATTCGTAAGCCTCGACTTAATCCAAAGCAATACGGCAAGACCAGTCTTCCCAGTACATTGTTGGACAGCAGGATTTAAAATCATGCTTGTATGCAACCAGGGCCCGAAAAAAGGACCCGTATGTTTTTCAGGAAATCTTTAGGATGAAGCCCCCCTACTGTCCCCATATACGTCGGGTGCATGTTCAGCTGGCAAATGTATTTGACGTACCAGGTTCTGGAAGCTAATCACCGCCTGAACACCCAACAATCAGATCACTTCAAAGAAGAAGCCCAACATATTGGGACCCCAATATGGACCCCAAAATACTAGAAACTTTTTATGGGGATCCCCAAAAGGGTACCAAAGGAAGCTGTAACCTCAGAAGCCCGCGCATCCAAGGTCCCAAAAATGGGACTCCGAGCCCCAAACATGTGAACCTTAAGCCCCAAACCCTGAACCTTACAGCCTAACCCTTAACCTTAAACTCTAGGCCTTGAGAATTCCGATGGGATGCCTTAAACCTTAAACCTTTCTCCCTAACCCTTCAACCCTAGTCCCTTATCCCCAACCCTCAAGCCCTAGACCCTTAAACCCAAAGCCGTACACCTCAAACCCTAAATCCTAAACCTCAAAACCCCTAAACCCTAAATCCCTAAACCCTATATATCCCTATATAACCCCTATTAACCCACTACTCTAAACTCTATCTCCCCGAGGTTTCTGAGTTGGAGGAATGGAAGGAAAAGCTCTCTGCGGCTGGACCTCTTGAGCAGCCCATAGGAGCTGCTATCAACACTGTTGAACTTCCATAAACCTAAATGAACAGGGTTTAAGGTTTAGGGCTGAGGGTTTAGGGTGTAGGATTTCGGTGTAGGGATTAGGGTTTAGGGGGGTAAGCCCCCCTCTGAGCTGTAGTCTAAACTCCTTCAGGGGCTTATATAGGGGCTTATATAACGGAGTACTACAGGGGTTATTCAGGTTGATGCTAGGAGTTTAGACTATGGCTCACATGGGTTTATGTAGGGTGCCTGTAGGGTAATGTAGTGTTTGTATGGGATTTTCTAGGGTTGCATCGGGTTTCTGCAGGGTTATATAGGGGTTACATACCGTATGATGTGTTTATAGCGTCAGGCTTCAGTGCTTTGGGTTCAGGGTTTGGGTTAAAGGCTTTCGTGGGAATCAAGCAGCCTTCCTTGTGGCATTTCGCGCGCAGAGCCCAGATGCAAAACAAAAAATAACAGGAACAATTACCATGCGTCAGCATGGGGTTCCGTATGGCAATCTAACAACGGCCAGGCCTAGTACAGACGTCCTATGATCCGTAATTAATTGTAACCCCTCTATAACCCCATGTAACTCTATATAAACCGTATATAAGCCCTATATTTCCTTATCATCTGGGCTGGGACCGACTTTGGATACCACCAACAGCCTACAGCCCGCCGTGGTCCCTCATCTTGAAAATGCCTAGATCTCCTTCCAACGCAGGAAATGTGCCTCTTGCATGGGTCTAAGGTCCTCACCGGTTTAAGGATGGGTGCGTTTAGGTTCAGGAAGCATTAAGAGTTGGCTTTGAAATTGTTTATTTGTGGACCTGGGTCTGGACTATTGCAGAGGACGGCTAGAGATCAGATTTTTGGGTGAGTGGAGCTTCATAGGCTTGGGCACACAGTGTACAAAGGGGACACCAACCTAAACCCTGAACCCTACACTTCGAACCTTAAATCCGAAACCCTAAACCCAAATTCCTGAACACTAAATCTTAACCTTACATGCACTGTTTATAGCACCTGGAGGTGACAGCTCCTAAGTGTTCGCAGGATCAGGTGATTGGTCTGGGCTCAGTAGATGGACCCTTTGCCAAAAAATCCTTCATGGAAGCTCTGGCAGAGTTAAGAAATTTCCTAAACCTTAGGGTCAAGCCTAGCCATAAGCCTGAAAGAGTAGCAGCCCTATGACGTCCCACTCAAGGCTTCAACAATGGGGTTTAGGGTTTGGGAGTTTAGCCGTCCAGCGTTATAGTCAAACACATAAGCCCTAAACTCTAAGCCGCATTTCTTCCGCCATACTCAGAGCCCTACTTGTAACTACCCCGTGAGCCTCCAAGTGCTAAGAGTCAACTCGGTGTTGAAGTACAGAGTTTAGGGTTCAGGGTTTGGGGTTTAGGGTTCAGGGTTTAGGGGGTTTCAGGGTTTAGGGCTCAGCGTTTAGGGTTTCGGGTTCAGGGTTTGGGGTTGAGGGTTTATGGCCTAGGCTTTAGGGTAGGGGGTTTTACCACCAGTACTAGTCTCCTTTCTAGTGCGATTACTAGTATCATTAAAAATGTTTAAGACTTACTATTGCTAATGTGACAACTATGACTTGTAGACCATAAACGCGAAGCCTAAATCCTAAACGCTAATCCCTAAACTCATTGTTATCATTATCATTACCTTTTTAATTATGAATAGTACCCTAAATGCTAAACCCAAAACCTTAAACCCTAAGCCCTAAGCCCTAAACCCTAACTTCTAATGGATAGAGGAATCCTTGCTCCACTTGAAATCTCCAACGTCTTGTAGTTCCAAAGTACGGTTTTTAGAGTTTTTGGGG